AGATTCGAAAGCATGGGCTTTCAAACGATGGTAAATGTATGATCCTTATCATGAAAGCAGAGATACGTAACTGAAGTTCGCCTGAGTCGAAACTCGTAAGACTAATTCCTTATTGGTCAACTCGAATCCGAAGTCGAAATTCGAATTCGGCGCACGGGGTGCGCAGTAGATCTCGTATAATAGATTCGAAAGCATGGGCTTTAAAAAGATGGTAAATGTATGATTTACGTCCACCAAAAAACAAAAATCATTGGAATATTAATTTCTTTAGCGGAAAATCCATCCTTATCCTCTCAGTTACCAAGAACAAGACGAAAGAAGAGATTGAGTCGCTCGTGTTCGTTCAGCGATGATCGATGATCGAGAGAGGTGAATTCAGAGTTATAGTGAAGTGCTTGGGACTATTTGATAAATCCATTCTTCTGTGTGCCCATTGTCTATAAATGTGTTAACATGTGTTGTCTTTGGGGTCGACACACCGCCATGTTCTCGCCGTGGCCCTGGATAATACCGAGAGCGGTGTATTAAATGTCATATCTCCTACACTAATTGTTTCCGGATAAGGTGACCAGATGCTTAATTAGGTGACGGAAACCTATCGAATCAAATATAAAACATCCAGAATGGTTTGGTGAACCTGAACTAGATATTTACCGAAGCGATATACAGCATGCCTAATCGCGGTGACCAGGAGAACATGGTTCCGAGAAAAAGCTTTGATAATACAATGTTTCCGATTAAAAACATCCATTCAGACCAATGAATAACTATATCGTCTTCTTATAAAGGAATGTATCGAAAAATAACAGAAAATCGATATTTCTAGCAATTTTTTTCTTAAAGATTATAATATAGTTGTGATAATAGTAATGTCACAATTCTGTAAACGCGAGAGAAATTGTCACTTCAAAAAAAATTACGAAACTAACCGCAAGTTTTACGTGATTATTTTATCATTTTTATGTCATAGGTGCCCGTAATCTTACCATTTCAAATGGCAGCGTTGCTATATACTCATCGATTTTTTTTTTTTCATTTTTCCAGGTCGGTGCATAACAGCAATGTTTAGAAAATTCCATCCTGAGCACTTCGTCTGTGCATTCTGTTTGAAACAGCTCAACAAAGGAACATTCAAGGAACAAAATGACAAGCCCTATTGTCATGGGTGCTTTGAGAAACTCTTCGGTTGATGACCCAAAAATGTAAAAATTCAGAAAACAATTACTCTTAAAAATCTTTTAACAAGGTTAGGATTTAAAAATTTCAATCGAACAGAAAATTTTTTGAAATACTAATGACCGCACTGTGAGAATTTTTTTTCCATATTCTCTTGAATATGTTACATAACAATAAACATTACGTTTCTGCGTTTAGCGTTTAATTGGTTTGTTTGATGCTGATTTTTTCTTACATTCTCTATGTGACACTCGGAAATTAAAATTTGGAATTAATAGGTATCTTCAGTTGGAATTTATGGTACTATTAATACAGTATTAAAGAATCCATTTAAGTAACGAAATTAGTAATACGACTGAAATGCCAAATAACTTTGAAACATCTGTAATAACAGAATGGGTGCTATTATTTTTTAATTTACTAATTAACGTAGAAAAGATGGGATATAATTAAAAATATTAGTTTTATCATAAATCAGGCTCCAGACTGTTTATTCAGCTTTTTACAATGAGCAATATTGTTTTTTGTTTTTTTTATTATTAAAGAAAACATGAGTAATTCTGGACATTAAGAAACCGTTCATGAACACAAAACCATTAGAGGACTCATTGTAAACGTAATTGAATTGAGGTAAATAATTCCATAAAGAAGTGTATTCTAATATCGACTTATGCACGGAGAACACTGAGGATAAACTCGGAGAGAAATGCTCTAGTATAAAAATATATGAACATTACTTTATAGTTTATGTACAATTTTTTTATGATGAAACAATGAAATGTCTGCGAACCACCCTTATTCAAACTAATCAGTATAAAGTGACCTAGATAAATTGAATATATTAAAAATTTATCATTAAATATTTTTTCGCGGAAAAAAGGAAAAATTGATGTATTTGAATGATAAGGATAATGGTGATATCGAAATTGATCAAGCAAGACTGGGAAATAAGATAGAAAAGCTCTCGTGCCAGGGATCGGTCAATTGTGTAACATTTGAGGTCCTTTCGACTTTGGGTTCGTCATGAGACTCGTAGCCACAGTCATCGTTCTTATACCTCAGATGTCCATCAGATTCCTCCGAGTGGAGACTATCGGGCGATGAATTATCACAAATAGTATACACTGGTGAAAGGTGATTTTTATATGAATATTTTGAGGTTAAAGGTGTGCTGTTATCACTAGAAACTTCCTGAACGCATTCCTGAATAGCAACACCATTTTCCTCACTGCAAATAATAGTAATGCAATTGGTAGCCTCGTCATAAGTTCCGTAAACTGTATCAGAGTCATTAACGGGTTCCTGTTTAATTTCCCGTTTCAAAACATTTGTAGTGGGTAAATAATTGAAAATCGGCTCAGAACGGATATCAGAATTAAAAATTTTTGAGTGGGAATTTTTTGTGATAATTTTTTTGGAGTTGTTTCCAATGTGATTAGGAGTGCTTGAAACATCATTATTCGTTTCCGATTTCTTTCCAGGACTTGTGTAAACGAGCGACAAATAATCTGGGGCTGATTGTGATCGACCTGAGTCCTTCAAGCCTCCGCTAGCTGAGGTGGTTTCCACATCTTCTGATGTCTGCCCCACCATTCGCTCTGTATTGTCATATTTTTCAGTGGAATCTCTCTTCTGGCTGTTGTTGACATTTGCTGGATTAGAATTTGCTTCCACTTCTGCGGTAACCTCTCGCAGAAGGCTCTCGGCGAGTTCTTCAAGTCTGATGAGGTAGTCGTCTCCTTGGAGATCTCCAAAGAGCTCCTCGAGAGGAGGTAAAGGGTCAGTATCTTCAAGATTACTGTGGCATTTTGGGTCAGAGCTGGTGCCGATTGTGTTTTGCCACCCTGCAGCAGAGGGTTAGGGGATGCGGCGGATCCCAGCGTGGGCTTAACATAATCGACACGGTTCTGACACGATTCACAGTACTTTACTGAATTCGTTGGATTTTGAGACTGAAATTTTAGACGTTGGCTCTCAACAAGAAGGGTTTCATTCTGAGAGCGAAGAAGCGCGCATTCTTCTGAGAGAAGATCGTTTTGTTCGTGGAGAGCACGCACGGTATCCTCGAGCTCATCGAGTTTAGCTTTCTTCCGATCTCGGGATGTTTGAGCTGCTACTCGATTCTTCAATTTTCTGTAATTTGATTTTCGTTTTAGATCATCAATAATCAAAGTATCATGATCTTTTTATGTGACTCGAAACAAAAATGGCTATACGTGTGTACATTTCAGTTTGTGCCTATTCTAAATTCAAAAACTGAAGTTTTTGAAAAAATTCTCCTAAGTTAACGTTTTGAATCTTCTATGTGAAAAAAATTAATGAAATCAAATAAAGACTAAATAAAAACCAAGTTGTACCGAAGTTTTTTTTCAATTGAAAATAGTTCATCTTGCTTCTTTATTTTATTTGAATTATCTTTGTGACGTAGGAAATTATTCAAAACGTTAACTTGGAAGATTTTTTTTTTAATTTCAATTTTTTAATTTTTCAGTAATTTCAAACCCATCAAATTCAAGCAGTCATTGAAAAATCATTGAGTTTAACACGAAAATCACAATGAATTCAGACTTACGTCATGAAAATTTAATCAAAATTATGATTAGAATTTCAAGAAATTTTTCACAGACTCCTCAACATATCAGAATTTTAAAACAAAGCTCGTTACTGAGTTAGCAACACCTTTAAGAATGAAAAAAAAATTGATAGAAAGCAATCACAAACAATTGCGTCGAGAAAGGAAAAAAAAACAAAGTATACGAAGTAATAAAATGTTAACTCACTTTCGCTGTAACTTTTCCTCCCATGTAAGGTGATCGAGCCGCCTTTTCTTTCCTCTAAGCCATTCATCAGGTTTAACAATTCGACACGACGAGTCGTCAATTTCTTCAATCTTCATTTTCCTTGCTTCCATTTTTGCTTTGGCTCCAAGAATCGAAGTCGCCAAATTAATTTCGTTACCGAGTGTGGCTTTTTGCATACCCTTAGGCAGCGTAATGATGACACTTCTGGGAAAACTCATAATCAGCCATTAAACTCGTAAATATTCTATGCCCACAATCTAACTGGTTGACGGTTGTCAATTTTTATTTGTGATTTACTATATATCTCCGTTAACTACAACGTTTTTCAGCATATCTGATGCCCACATATAATGACCTTGAGAAATGATGGCGAACTGAATTTTTACCTCACCCTTTAGGTTGGATTTTATTTATTTTTTTTTCCTCCGATTTAGTTGTTCCGGTGATTCTGATGCAACTGTTGTGACACACAAAAGGTGCTGAGACGATGACTCGGACGACCGATGGTGGGAGGTAGGGAGTGGCCATTTTAGAGGTAAAGCGAAATAGGATTGGCCGACGAAACAAGTAGCTGATGTGGTGTTTTGTGATTGGTCAATGAAGGCGCCACACTGGTAGCCGTATCGTCAAGGTAACTTCGTGTTAGTCATTCATAGAGGATATTCTGGTCATGGTAGAATCGATTTGAGTTTGATACCATACCATATCAAACGGAATATCATACGCGATGGCGTATCTCCCTAGTTAACGTTTTGAAGATGCGATCGCATATATTATATGTCTCATAACTTCCCCTTTCACCACCAACTTCATAATTTTTTAATGAAGAAATCATGACGAAGAATTGAAAACCATCCTTGGATACTTAATAATTCGTAGATGACCTTTTCAATGGTATTTTTATTTTAGCTTTCATCTGCATCAATAAAAATATTACCCTTTACAATGGGCGAAAACATCCCATTCTGCGGATTTTTATCTTCACTCAACTTGTGAATTTCTGGTTTTTGAGAACCGACAATCACGACTTCACAATACTTTTATATTTATATCTAATCCCTCAAGTACTGCGTCTATAAAATCCATTATCTTTTGTACTATAGCAAACGTCAACATTTTAAACATTTTCCCATCAAATGAATAAAATCTGCAATGAAATGCGACTTCAAATATATTTTTTCAAGTTATTTTTCATATTTTTTCTGAAAAAATAGACATTACGCAATTATAAATTGGATGTTGGACTCATTCAAACCTCTCGTTTATCAAAAAAAATTTCCATGAAAAATTCTGAAATGTTCATCGAATTTCTCTTCTTCATTCCGTCGTTGAATAGCAATCAATTATTCATTTGTTTTTGATAAGTTTTCGACACTCGTCAATTTTGGTAATCGTTTGTTCTATCAAATTGATATTGGTCTTAAAAATAAAATATAAAATTAAAAATTAAAATTTTCTTCCTAATAAAAATTTTCCTCCTAATATTGCTGCCTGAAAAATTGACATTCAAATTTCAAATCGATGGAAAGCTGAAAATTCTTGATCCATTGCACGATCGCTGCCTGTCGGTATCGGTCGAACGAAGGATTAATGAAAGACAAAAACCGAATTAGAGCAGGTAGCTTCGAAAGTGAATGAGGCCCCTCTCCCCTCTCCCACGATGATGAACTTAATTGTTGGCTTTGTTATAAAGGAATTACCCATTTTCACCCATTCGTCACCAGTTTCAATTAGATCAATACCACTTTATAAGTAGCTTGACGAACTGACAAAAATTCCAGAATAGATTGAATTTATGTTTATGATTGAATCTTGAATTTTATTTCTTATCATTCCGCGCAAAGATTGAAAACACGAATGAATAAAACGTCCTTTTCTGCCATAAACTTCAATAAAATAAACATTATTTTTCCAGTCTTTTTTTACTTCAAGGAAAAAAAGAAAAGAAGACAGGAGAACGCTTTGAAAATTTTCACAATATAGGATTGGTGAGGAGAGCTTTACGAATCGCTAGGTATTACCATTACGTTAATTAGTTAATGAATTGTAATTATATTTCGGACATTGTTCGAAGTTTTTCAAAACGTAAACGGTGTTTCAATAATTTTTGGAGTTTGATAAATGCTTCAATAGGTACGGACACAATTTTTTCGACTTTTATTGTTAAACAGGAGGAGCCATAGGCATTCCAAGGTTGCCCATGTTAGATATTGCAGTGTTCGGCCCGAGAAGTACTTGTTTTTGTTGAGAACGTTGTGCTTCTTCCATCTGGGCTCGTTCAACCTCGAAAATCACAGGAGCGAAAAGGATTGCAGAGGAACTGAAGAAAATCCAAGTAGCGGAACAGGAGAGTCCATAAAGACCTGCACCGAAACCACAAGGAATTACTCTTAATTACAGCATGGCGTAATCGGTTTTATTAATGATGTAATCATTTCCGTGTCAACTTTTGAGGTTCCAAACCTCGCTCTTCATTTTTGAGGAGGATTTCTCCTCACATTGATTATGTTATTTTAAGAATGAAACGTAAACCGGAGACGAAATAAATCCATACTCAGGGACTTACTGAGTCTCTGGGATCTGACTTCTGTCGGCAATCTCAGGGTAATACAGGGTTGTGACAAGCTTATTACTGGTTAGTTTGAACACGGAATTAAATTTTGATAGTAATTGTTATTAAAAGATTCTTCAGTGAGCACACAGTTAGTGAGGTACTTACTGAAGTTAAACTGGTACTGAACTGAGAAGCATAATTTTCATGGGTCTTAATATTTTCTATAATAAAGCGATGATGAATCATTATTTTTTTGTAAATTTAAAGCAAAAACATGGGATAGTCCATTATTAAAGGGCATGAGCATGGCGGGCACGGCAACGCTGGCATTAAATGAATGCTCACTTTATGAATCCGGAGTTAATGAGATTTTACCTTTGACACATGTCTTTACGCCAGTTCCAACATTGTATCCGAAGTTTCGGACCTCTTCCGGGAACATTTCAGTCAGTCCTATGAGTCTCTCCACAAGACTTTCATCCTGTAGAAACATATATTTATTGAAAAATTAATTGAGAATTATTCTACGTGGATTCATCATGAAGTTTCACGTTTTTTTCTTATCATATCATTACATAAATTTGGCAATTAAATTATAAAGACTATACACAGTTTACAGTTTTAGAGGTGTGAAATCAAGAGTTAACAATTTTCAAATCTCAATCATATAAAAAGCAAATTGAAACAAATTAGAATAAGTGAGGAATTGCTCTTGTATCGCATATCATATTATCATAGTTGTCTTTGCTAATAAATTAGCAATATACTTCCGAATAGTTATTTCCTATACTATCTTTCCCTTTTTTAAATATGCTTTCATTTTTATTTTATTAAATTCAAGTTAATCGTGTTCAAATAATTTTTCTCAGCCACCATTTGTTTCCTAACATCTACAAGGTATCCCAGAAGTACATGCTAATCCTTTACCAGCATTTACAGGGGGTGATTCTGAGCCGAAAAGTCCTTTTCCACTTTTGGATCAGAAGCACCCCCCCCCCGGAGATATTGCGGTAAATAGGAGAGCCAATGACACTGCAGCGTTAAATGGTAGTACGTCCGTGTGGCTCCGACACATGCATGAGCGACGCCCCTTCCAGGCAGCGGGCTATGTGTGCAGAGGTTAGAAATTTTTTCAAACCTCATTTTCAACTGAAAGTCAATTATTTCATTGATGCTCTCATTTCCGAATCATGTGTTTTATCAATAATGGTAAAAAAAACAGAATATTCTTTGCTATCCTGCGTGTGACTGCCAGTTAACTCGTTAATGAATTTATAATCATGTTACACAAGCCGAAAAGAAGGAATTTGCAGGTAAAAAGGTAAAAACCATAATGGAAGGATTGGGAAAATGCATGGTGAGAAAAATTAATAAAATAGAAAATTTTTCTGAATTTCTGAACAAAAAATTGGATAACCTTTTTCTGGGTTATATAAAATTCATAGCTCCTTTCTGTGGCGTGTCTATAGCAAGCTCGGGAAAGGATCTTTTTAGCATTCCTCGAATGTTTATACGCTTATTTTGTTAAATGATAGATCCTCAAAAGGAAGAAAACATTTGAAAAATGCATTACAAACCTCCTCATCCTCTTCGTCTCCAGGAAGAATGGACTTAACTTCTGGCGACCTAATGTCACTGCTTCCCATACCGCTGTCTAAGATATCAATTTCTTCAACAGTAGCCATATAAAAATATAAATTTCTCCAATTGTAAACAATGTTATTTATTCAAATGTTTGGATATATAGTTTATGTTTAATCTCGCGATTGAAAATCCAAAACTCTTCGGCAGCTGATCCTCTCAATAGCTGGGAGCAGAAATTATAGGAGAGATGGCTAACATCAATGGCGGCGGTTCAACCAATGAGGTTTTTGTAGCGGCGGCCTCGGAACTAAAATAAAGGCCGTACTTGTGAATAAGGCAGGGCACGGCATCGAGAGTCGATAACGGCATTCGAGAGGTCGAGATAGAGTGGGGGGGAAAGAGGGAGAATGGGAGGCGAAAGTGGGGAATCTTCACGGGCGAAAAATAAGTGGGGAACATCAAAGCGTTGAGTAGACTCCAACTAATCCGTCCGCCAATTAAAAATCCATTTCTTCTGTCCTAATGAATATTATGAAATGGAACAGGTGGTACTTGCCACTTTCGATCTAACTACTTGGATATTCTCAATTTCATGGTAACTCGAAGGAGGCTATAGAATAAATAACATGATATTTAATTGGAGTAAAAACATGGAAAAATTATAAAACTTATGATATAATTTACCCCGACGGTGAATTCAACCCTTTGATTTCTTAGCCCTTTGAATTTATTTAATGAGGAAATCGGTCAGCATTCTAAAGTTCGATTGATAACCTCCCTAAAATTATCGCAATATAGGTCATATAAGGATAAAACGTTTGAGAAAATTTCAAACGTATTTTCAAGTTGGAACATCTAAACAATTTCTTCGTTAAATTTCCCGCATTTTTCGACGCTGCGCGTAGGTATTGGTTGTACGTGGACCAATCAACATGATTGGCTCTACTATACACGCCTATATAGAGGAGAGCATAACCATTCTCAAATGTACTGTGGATTTATGATTGGTGTGTGGGGGTTCTGTAAACCTTTCTCCATCCATCGAATGCCTCTGCTTCCATCTCGCAGCAATAAAAACGTAAATACTGAGTATCAGGATAACAGCGCTGAATGTGAGTCATTAGATATAATTGAGTTTATAAATTTATCAAAACGACTAAATGATTGAGGAACGAATTTTTCTAAGGTTTTAACTTTGCTATAATTACCTGGATCGTTTCCATATCGATAGCATTTCTGTACTATAACGTTTCTGAAATCATAACAATGTCGCGTGTCAATATGACATTTGGCAAGTACAACTCCGATTTTTTTAACGCTATGTTTTGCAACATTTTCTTCCAATTTTACCATCTATCTGTTAGAATAAAAAGAATTTATTATTAAAAATAAGTTGAAAAATTGGACAGAAGAACTAATTATTACCAAGTATGTATTTTTTAAACTCTCATTATTTAGATCGCACAATAACGAAAAGCATTTTTATTTCGGGAATACTTTTATTTATTTGTTATATCATTATTTGATTTATTCATTTCTTGATAGGATAGTTTTCCTGATTTTGATAATTGAAAACATTTCCGTTTCTATCATAGAAATTATATATTCAATCATGGGAGATGAAAAATTCGATATGTGCGAATATGTCTGGAACTACGACGCGATGCAGCGGCTCATATCACTCGTAAGTACAGTAAAAAATCCATAAAAATCTAATTTTATTTCGACTAGAAAACCATTTTTTTCTTTTTCTATATGACTGATTCATATTTTGACTACTAACAATCGTTCTTAAATTCTCTTCTTTTAAATGCCATGCGATAATCCTCAAATTCCTCCAATTTTTTTTCATTCTTTCCATGAGATCCCCTTGTCTTCAATTTATGATGTTTTAGTGCATTCATTAATCCAAAATATGTCTTTCTGTTTTAATGCGTCGGTTTATATTTACTAAATATTACTTAAAAATACTCTTATCCTTTTGATAAACAGCTATTATGCAATTCTTTCAGTTTTTGTTTAGCTTGCAAATTGACTCCAATTTTTTCATGTTTTTCTTTTTTCTACATTGAAAGACATGCGGCAATGGCACGTACTTTGTTGTATTCTTACGTAACATTATTGTCTGATTTTACATTTAATTTCGTTAATTGTTGAGTATTACTTGTAATCAATCAATAGAACTTGTTCGTTCCCGATTTCGTCTGCTTCAAATTTTTCATCTTCGAACTGTCAAATATTAAACTTATCCTCGATCACTTCTAAATTATTTGGCCTCATTTTTCATATTTTTCTCATGAAAGTACAGCCGAAAATCTTTATTTATTAAGATCAGCCGAGCAAGAAACATTTTGAACAAATTTTTCATATAACACAACGTAAACTTAAGATGAACTCTTTTTACATGGCACTTTATGGGGTTGGTTTTCTCGATAAACAAATCAATTGTAACACACGGAAAGTCGACATGAAAGTGTCAGGATTTTTTTCACTGAGAACAAAACCCCTCAGCAGATAGATTTCATGACAACTTTTCCGTATCCCTTTTTTAACTAGCATCTCATTTTTTAAATTAACTTTTTATTATTATACCATGTGCGCCTGCCTTGCATCAAAGATGTAAAAACTCCTCCATATGTAGTCTTATGGTTTTCTATCTGAATTTTTGATATATTATCTAGTTCTTGTGCTGTATTAAATTTGTAAAATTCTTACCTAAACGGAATAACGAAAAGTCGCATTCGTCAGATTCTCTTTTTCCGTCCTAGACGTGAAAAATACTATTCATCATGTTTACGACGATAAATATAAAGATTGAATGAAGCCCGGAAGCTGAATAAAGCTAGCACGAAATGCTTGAGTGAAGTCCCCAAAATTTGTTACTTTATAAAATTTTTCTTTCTAATATGGATAATGACTATTTTATACACGGAGAGAAATATTTAGTAAAAATTACGGAACTTTCAGTTCACTTACCGATTACGGAGTTGATTCGAAAAATTTAAGTGACGGTATCGTTATTTTTCACCGATAATTCAGATAAAAATTACGGAACACCGCGGAAAAATTCCGTGACTTCAGATAAAAATTACGTGACAGTTCCGTAAAATTTCCAACAACCACATTTCGCTTCAGAATTACGGAAAATACACGTAATTTTTATTGAATATTTCTCTCAGTGTATGCTTATATAGTTTTTCATCTTCTGTTTCAGTTGCGACAATCGCAGGCTTATTGCACTGACAACGAATGTCTAAATTTTGCGAGGCGTACGTATTCATTTTTAGTTACAAAAAAACCATATTTCAAGTATCCGATAATTAGGGCTCAAAATCATGGGATTTTTGTGGCTTCTTTCAGTTCCAGGACCCCCAACTAATCAGCCATCGTCTGATTTTTTATTCATGAGTCTCGCTGTGATGACTATACTATTGCTGTATGTACTGCGACCAAATTCATTAAAGCAGAACTCAGATGAGAAATCGCGTCATAATCCATCTGTAAGAGGAACTATGATCATAATATATAAGAATATAAAAATCCTTTCTACAGGGGAGCCCAACAATGATAGAAAAACAAAGATGAGTAACTGTAGATTCTTGAAATATACTTATAATAGCTTCAAATGTCGGAATATAACAAAATGGAGACTATTTGAAGTCATTTCAGTAAATAACAAAAAAATTTCAAAGGTGTTAAAATTTGAAATGGGTTGATTATAAACTGTAAATAAAATTCTGTAAATTTCCAAATGACTCTGAATGAATATTCATAAATAATTGTTATTATGAGGAAACTAGATCGTCCAATATTTACATGAAATGTCGAGTTTATGTGTATTGGATTTTTTTTACAGAGCAGTCTTGGAGATTATGAAATACAAATGTCCCCGATTTTGAAAATTAATGCTCTCCGCGTTTCCCAATTACAAAAGGAACTAATTTGGTCATAGCAATGTATTTCGCATATTCGTCTATTATTTTTTAATAAAATTATTCAATTATCTCTTTTAGCGCCGGAATGACGATCCCCCTGCCCCACCACCGCCAGCAATTCATTAATGCCTTCGAGAAGAAGAACAACAGTTGATGGGAGGCGTGATAACCAATAGGAACTCATCCAGCAATTGACAAATCTAAATTAAAATTGATCAGAAACAAGTTATAAATATTAATTACATTTCATCTCGGAAAACCCGAACGAAGAGCTTGGATTCGTCAAAGTTATGTGCATTTTCAGATATTCTAATGTTGTCTTTTTCCACATTCATATTTCCGCCCAACTCTGCGATTAAAAAAAATGAAAAAAGACAACGAAAAAAGAAGAATATTAATGGAAGGTGGCGCAAACTTTAAACTTTTATTTTTTAATACGACTAGGACAATTTCCCGTAATCGAATTAAATTAATCATAAATATAGATTATGGGTTGAGAAATTATACAATCGAATAAAAAAAGGGGCTTAAGGTCCGGATGGACTATCTATCGAAGGTCACTTTTGTTTAAAGTTTCTCTTTTTAGCTTAAAATCCATTAAAATTTGGGATCAAATCCGCGTTGCGAGAAACACTTGAATGGACATGGAAAAATAACGACGAAAAAGAGGACAAATTATTAAAGGGCGCTAAAAAGCAATATTGGTTAAAATGTACAAAATTTCGTAAAAAAATAATAAAAAATACGTCGCGTACTATTACATATGGCTGCCACTGAATCTCCTGGAGAGCAATGGTGAGCTGTCTCATTATTTTTTAGTAAACATGGTAGAACCCTTTAAAACACTATCGCTCTTTAGCGCCCTTCAATAAATTTTTCCTCTTTTTTTTTATCAATTTTTTTTTTCAAGTGCTTCCGGCAACACAAATTTGATCCCAAATTTTAATGTATTTCAAGCTAAGAAGATATAATTTAAACAATAGATGACGTTCGACAGATAGCCCATCCCGGCCTTAATGTTGGAAAAGAGAGACAATTTCAAGTATTCGGATTACTTTTTAAGTCTCGACTAATTTTTTAAAAGATGTAGTACTGGATTATTCAATATTATCCAACTAATGAATAATAGGTCGTTAAAAAATATATTAATGTGAAATACATTCCTGCTTTTCTATACTGAATAACGGTGTTTTATTTTTCCATATTGAATTCTGATCAAGTGTATCGACTCCATTAGGTTTGAAATAAACATATGAGCATCTTCCATTGCATCAATCGTTGCCTTTTTGGCAATACATTACTAATATGCTTCCGAATAGATATGCGTAGGAACTATATTTTTATTTCCTTCTTCGGTTCTTGATAGAATACTATATCTTTTTGTCTCTGCATCATATCATCCCTTACTATTGCCAATTTAATACTTGAGTTTGAACTTCCGATGTATGGCCCAGATCTCAATTTCAATGAATTTCGTTAGGCATCTAGGGCCATATGATTCACATATGATCTTATATACTTTATGTGGCTCCTATAAGAACACCCAATAATTCAGAAGACATTCCTATAAGTTCTTTTCAGGACTGATACATGTGTAACTCCGATTCTGTCGAGGTCGAAACAAGCTGCTGCCAATTTTGTGCATTGAATTGAGTTTGCATCGCAAGCTTAAACGCATAATTTTCGTGCGGCGACACTAAGGAATGTACAAACGAAGAAAGTATGTAATTCATGATATACAAACAATTTCCTATCGAATTGACCATTTTTTTGACCCATTGAGCAATTTTTCATTTTATTCCGGCCAGCATCATGGCAAAAATGGAATAATTATTTATAATTAATGAGTGAATGTATAAAAACATTCGAGTACAATCATGTACTAACGATGTACAATCGAATACATAAGGTAGTTTTCCCAATTATTGTATCCTTTGTGATAAATACACGGAAGTTACGGAGACGCATAGGATGAGACATGCCTAGGCATAAAATATGGTAAATGCATGGGTGAAGTGCACTAAAAACAATAATTAGTATAAAATCCATTCGTATTTTCTCATACAGACAATTACGGGAGAATACAGGAAGAAACCACAAGGAGAAAAATATACCGAAAAACGGTTCAGCATAAATTCAGTTCAGTAAACTCGGTTGGCCCTGAACTTCTTACAATCGTCCTTCGCCTTGCTGTTGACAAGACGAGTGATTAATACTATATTAAATCATTTGAATTGGTGCGGGAGGGTAGCGGGGGATAAATCAGATAAATGTCTTAACCACAATTTTATTGGTCAATCAGATTAACAATTTTTGTCATGAATTTTCAAAACAGTTGTTTGTCATTTTTCCCCTATGATGTGATTAGAGAAGGAGGAAATTTTTTCCAGGGTTAGAATATTTTCAAAAGGACAGACTTGCGATGAGTTAAGCAACAGGGCATTAGTATGGCGTGTCTCTGACTGCAAACCAAACTATGGATATTATTGTTCGTAGGATTTTTAGTTAATCAATGAATACTCGTCAACTCTGAAAATTTCGAAAATTGGACGAACGGTCAGATATTATTTTTAATCAGAGACTCCCTTTACCTTATATAAATTGAGCAAGATTTTTCCTTTAACATGATTTCCACCATAATTTATTGCTTATATTGAATTGAATTGAATTAGTATTCAAGCCAACGATGAGACTCCCTTAAGACCGCGTTCGATTATTTTGTTATCTCGTATAGACAGTTTTTTTTTGTTCTTTATTTAAAGTTTTGGTACAGACCCGCATGAAGGGGAACTGCACCACATAAATGCATGTAGGCTGAAAAAAAAGTAAAAACAAAATATATATGGAGTCTGCGGTTTTTCAGTAAAATAGGATGTTAATTGTACGAAAGCACAAGTTGGAAATGTCTGTACGAATTCTTCGCAAACCATTATCTGACTACAAGTTATTAATCTTTGTACTGTAATTTTTGAATGCGAAACTATTAAAAAAATATATATTTATCGCAAAGTGCTAATAAATGGGGGAAAAAATCGTTTTGTCATATGCACAAACGTACAACGAACATTGTTTACAGATAGTATGTATGGGAATCATTCTCCTCGAATCTGTTTTATAAATAAAATACCCAAAAAATCTGCCGAGTTATATTTCGATTGCTTTCAATATTTTTATGCCATAGGCGTCCAGAATCGATTTTCGATTTTCCATTTGGTTAAATCTTTTCGAATTGATCAATGAAAAATTATATTATGCTGGAAAGAAACAAAAGAGTAAAACCATGTGGAGTACAGGAAGATGTGTGTTGTGTTATTATCACAACTGAATCTTTATCACCAGGAGAATTTGTGGAAATAGATAGGGAGGCACATGAAGTGGATCTAGTATATTTCCGGGTTGTGGGTATAAGATTTTTTACGCCGATAGAATCGGCGTCTAAGCCGAAGGCGTGAACTAAAAAACCACACCTGTTGGAAAAATTTAATGAACATAGTCCTGATAATTTTTTTCCGCAGTGATTTCAAGTTAGGAAAGTGACCATTTCTAATCGAAAAGTCGTGAGCAGCAGAGCGGAAAAATATTTTTTTTTTCTCATTGTGAAAGACGTAAAATATCGCTAGCGGGTGTAAACATCGTGTAAACTTAGATATCTAAGTATTTTGAATTATATTGATAGAGGGGATTATTTTCGATGTTCTCAAAATTTCAAAAATAATATATCCACTTTAGCCTATTTTACCCAGAATTTTCTATATTTTAGTGGTGATAAAGATTAAATTACGTCAATCACTCTTCATGACATTCCACGAACTGGAAGAATTTATGGAGAAAAAAATGTAGTTCTTTCACTCTCTGTCTCTTATGATGATCGTATTTTACAAACGGAAAAAGGTGAAAAAGCAGAGATTTTTATGATTAAGGAGCATGAGAAAGTGTTCCTCTCACTTTCTGCAAAATTTCCGTCATTTTTTTATATTTACCAGTAGAATTTGGTAAGTTTTCAAAGTTAATGACTTCACAAATGTCCTTGGAAAAATTTGCACTGGCTGGCAATTTTGTAAAAGGAGATGTACTCTGTAAAATTGGGGTTCCGAGATCCACAGATGTAACTCTACCAATTCTATCTCGCTGATCAGATATCGCAAGCATATTCGAATAATATATCGACGTGGTTCCAGCACTCAATTCGGAATGAGTATTCTTCACTGAGTCACACAATTTTTGCTGTCTGTTTTCCGATTCAGTCGGTGAAGAGGAGGCCCCGGTTGATCTCAATTCAGTTGGAGAAGTTTCCTCTTCAAGGGGTGCGATTGGAGGTGGAGAGCGGTGTCGTTGGCAGGGCTCTGGTTCCTTTGGAATTGGAGGCACAAAGTAACCGCTCTCATCCAACGATTCTATAGGTGCATCTGTAAATGACAATTATTTTCAATTAGCTGATGAATAAGATTTTTATATATATTACAATCATACAATCATGACCGCTAATGCCGTACGGAGAGTTGAGGGTGGAAAGGGAACAATTCGTAAAAACCCAAAAGGGTATGCGAGAAAGAAAAATTCATTTTACTATTGATAATTTTTTATGACAAAGTGGTAAGAGTAGATGATCATTTTACCTTCTATAATTTCGATTTCCATTTGTGCATTTTCTATAGTTCGTGAATTATGTACTGCTTCACTTTGCTTCATTTTCTTCCTCTTGTACCCCTCTTCCGCTTTTCTACCATTCATTTTAGCCAGCATCGTATCTTTGGAATGGATTTTTCGTTGCTCCACATTCCACCCAGCCTAAAAAGTCAGAATAAATAATGAATATAAATATAATACACGAGCGAAGTTTATAACATCATCCGTACACGAATTAGTCAAGTCAAGGTCAAAGGTCAGCCTTTGACCCGTAATTAATTTAACTGCCGATGAAAGAATACCAATCGATTCGTCAAAATGCAACTGCATCAATTCAGCTCAACCAATTGCACAGAAAAAAATGGCGGTAGGGGAAAAGTTTAGGTAGAAATTTCCACCCAAAAACGACGTCCTAGTGTAAATAAAAAATAAAATTTCAACCTATTGCGCATCGCGTGACTTGCATTGAGCTGCGTACGCGAAAAAGAGGCGGACTGTAAAGCCTCAAGTAACTGCCGAGGTCAGACAACTTTAAGAAATTTTTACATTACAATTATTTATATCAGGACATCATTTTTAGCAAAAAATTCGTAGTTGATTTTTTCCTCTACACAACGATATTTTTTTCTTTGCAATTGGATGAGCTGAATTGATGCAGTTAATATTCGTAGCACATGAAAGTAGATAGTTTTTAATTAATTCAGTTACGTTCCTGGTTGAAGTATATTTAAACATTTTGATATGTGGTTCAGGGTAATTTTGCGGATTGATTAGTAGTTTTGCATGGACATTTGGAATTTTCCGCAGAGATCTGCTTCGCATAGTATTTTTGTTAAAGAAAATTAGGAAAGGTGTCAGAATTTTAATGCCACCTTTCCCATTTTTACTTACATCTAGAATTCCTGGTGGTGCTGGTATATTGAAGCCAGGGAAATCATGGACCTTTCTTATATCATACTTATCCCTAGACTCTGGTGTGAAGATCTCACCTTGCTCTTCATCCGGCTCTGTCTCTCTCATTCCTTCTGAGTTATAAAGATTTATACCAGAGTGCTGGAGACGAGCGTCCTCCAGCCACCCTGGGGGATAGCCAAGTATTCTCATTCTATATTCATTAGAAAGTTATAAATTAATCAGTTAACTTAAAAAAAAGAGCAAGCTAAAATGAAAATTGGATGCCAATTTGGCGTTAAATTGCACAAATTTCCATATTCCCAGATATAAAATAAAGAAAAAAATAAAATAAATTCCATACATTGAAGATAGTAAAATTGGGAAAAGTTATATTTAGATGATAAAATATAAGTATATCCATTCGTGTTAAGAGTGGAAAATGAATTCTGTTTATTCATCAGAAGCTTTGTCGGGTCGAGACGATCAAATTATTTGTGAATTCCCTTTGATTTTTTTTCTATTTAAGACACGGATGGAAATGCTTTGCCAAAAATGTATGCAGCTGTATCATTGTATAGAATAACACTACACCGATATACGTAGGAGATTACCCAGCTCACTTTCGCTAGCAGTGGCCTCCTGAAAGGTGATACATTCTGGAAAGTGAGCGATATTTACACTCATAGCGACCATCGAGCTATCACGTGGAAGATAACACAGGAGAGCATACATTTTCGGCGCATTGCGCGCAGCGTGTGTTTTGCTAGCTCTTTGTAGCTAAAATTATACGACGGCCATTTTTTCCCACATATCTATGTTGACAAAATTTTTATCTGTTCATTGAAAGCTCTATTTCGAGTGATAAACGTTGGGTGTCCAACAAGTCGTGACTTAAGTTTGTTATCTCAATTCCCACAGGAGAAAGTTATTAGTACAACCTTAATCTTATCATCTACATGTTTATATTTTCAAATCTAAAATAAAGTCGGTAAGCTTTCATACTTGTAAATATGCCTAGGGAGTTCGTCATCAGCCAATCCTAAGGCTTTTCTCAGTTCCGGACTCAGGACTCCAGGTTTGAAGTGATCGAATTTTGCATCTTCCTCGACATGATACCTCACGGATCTAGGCCCATTCCGAGAATTGAATTCCTTCCTATTCTTGTTAATCTCCAGAATATTTCGAGGTTCTGGACAATCACGTAAATTATGACTTCCCAAACAATTGAAGCAGTTGAGTTTTGAAGTTGTCTTTCCTTTTTCGTCTGCCGCAGGTGGATCACTTACATCATTTAGGACTCTCTCGAATTTCTTACCATACGTGGGAATGTCAAGACTCTCTTGAGAATCAGGATTGTTGTCAATCATGTAAAAGTTATTTTCAGGGATTATTCGATTTTTTGAGTCTCTTGAGGGCCAGATAGCCAAGGTTGGTTTCGATGCATTTCTATCTTCGGTAGCTTCACCGAAGATGAGTTGAGTTAGGAAGTCTTGAATTTTTCCTTTGTATTTTCTAAAGTTAAAAAAAAAATTGTTAATGAAAAACTAAAAATAAAATTTATTATGAAGTAATAAAACATAACAGTTCAGTTTCATTCCTAGCTAGATTCTTAAAAGTTATTGCTAATATCTTCTCATTTTCTCGGGTCTTTGCAAATTTCTGAGAAATGGTTGATAAAATTGACGCAACAGAATACACCGTTTTTACGTATTATTATGATTTAATTGTAAAATTATGATCTTACCTTGCAACGCCTTCATCCCTAAAAGTAACCTTCAAAATTGGTGCCTGTGTACCGTCTTCTGGTTCCGAAGAAATTTCACCTGTGTTTTTCACTACTTCAATCGCCTCATCAATGATAATGAATCCTTCTGGAGCAATTCCCGGTGGCAATGTCTCATTAAAACACACTGATTTGTCACAAATTATCACTTCATCGCTAACCTCACCCTCTTCCTCTTCCAGCTTATCGCCATCGGTAGATTTCTCGCTTGAATCCAGACAAATGACGTCTGAATTTCCACTTTCATTATTATCATCACTCATGTGCACAACTATTTGTTATCAAAATGAGAAGAGAAAGTTATGTATCAATTTTGTTCAATTTATTCAGAAAAAACGAATAAATCGTCTGTATTTTAAACACAGGTTATAGGGGAGGGTGGGAGAGTGCCACCAGATATTATAGGGGAGATTGCCAGCGCTTGTACAAAACCTTCAAAAGGGGCAGACCCCGTACCTGTAAGTAAAGCAGATCGGGAGTTCGTGAGTGTCGATAATTTTCAGAGCCCGTGAGTATGGATAAGACAGAGCGCGAGCTCGTGAGTATCGATAATTCGAGACGGTCGTGAGTGTCACTCACTGTTTTCAACAATTTCCTCAGTGTTTTTTTTTCGACAGTTGTAGACAGTTGCCAGTTGCATGATGAATTCCGGGTTCATTCTGACGTGATACTCTTGTTTATCAAATCGAATCGGTCAGTATTGCATTCACCTTCTCTCAAACAATACTAAATCGATTGATTGATTAATGTTCACCTCAACTGCTCAATTTTACGGAGAGTATAATTTTCAATGGATTTTCGGTGACTTTCACTGGTATTATTTTTGTTTATTTTTATTCCACGTATGATTTCACTCGTTGGCACCACATCATGCCCTTCAATATGTTTTCGATATGATTTTACGAGTGATTGAGCCATTAATTAATTATTAACTGATTAATTCCATTTTCATCACTTGTTGACGGTTTTTTTGTATTTTTTTTTTTCGCCAGAAAATTTTTTTCCTGTGTCTAGAATTTTCTCGGGTGAGTGCACGTCTCGAGGATGATTTTCTCCGATTTTTCAGGTGGTGAGACAGGTATAGGGAGTCGTGGAAATTTTGGGACACGGAAATTGGGGGGAAAAATTGAAAATTGGGAATTAAGAAGTAATAATTTTGAATTTTAATCGTCGACGTGTGTTTCTGCTGTGGAATGGTGCCTGGAGTCTTCTGGAGACTTGTTATTATTTTGAGGGTCACCGGGGTCAGGGGAGACCCCACCGGAGGTCAATGAAGTGAGAGTCGTGAAAAAGTATTTTGGACCTTTTTTGGAGTTATTTATTTTTTTCGAGTTTGAGGGACTTGGGATTTTGGAGAACTTTTGAGAATCTGAAATGTCTTCTGGGAATCCCGCGGGGGGGTTGGTGGGTGGTGGGGAACCGGAACCTCCAGCTGTGCCCGATTATTCGAGTATCAGGGGGAAGGTACGATTTTTTACGATTTTTATTGATTTTTTCAATCGATGAAAAGGAATTATTTATTTAATTCACTCATTTCTATTTTTCATGGTTTTTTATTTTGGGACAGGATGTGCTTGTGAGTCCGTCTGAAGAACAATATGAGTTACTCCTGAGACGACTGAAAGAGAGAATACTGGATGGAGGAAGTGAAACTATTTTCGACATTGGAATTGGTGAAGGTGAGCACTGAGAAATATCTGCTGTAGTTTTTCGCCATCTCCTTTTTCCCTTAAAAAAATGTAATTTATTGAAAAATGTAAAAATTAAATTAAAAAAAATATGCAAAAAAATTTCCAAAAGACGGATCAGAGGATGGATTGAAGCCCGACGAATACGAGCCCTCGGTGGCAACTCTGCAGTCTCTAGCAGCGACATTAGAAGCTGATTGTGTCCTGCTGAGGCAGAGCAAGGTGGAGCAGGGTCTGACAGGGCAGTACCTGGTGAGGAGACGCCTTGACCAGCAAGATTTCCTCGAGATCAGAGTGGCAGTGGTGGGTAATGTCGATGCTGGAAAATCGACACTCCTGGGTGTCCTCACCCACGGTGAACTCGACAATGGACGTGGCCTCGCCAGGCAAAAACTCTTCAGGCATAAACACGAGGCTGAGACTGGACGTACCAGTTCAGTGGGTAACGATATCCTGGGATTTGACAGTGTTGGCAATGTCGTAAATAAACCAGAACACGGTTCCCTCGATTGGGTAAAAATATGTGAAAAATCATCGAAAGTTATAACATTCATCGACCTAGCTGGACACGAGCGGTACCTGAAGACCACAGTCTTCGGTATGACTGGTCACGCTCCAGATTTTGGAATGCTGATGGTGGGGGCCAATGCGGGAATCGTGGGAATGACTAAGGAACATCTTGGTCTCGCCCTTGCCCTCTCTGTTCCTGTTTTCGTGGTCGTCACGAAGATCGACATGTGTCCACCTAATGTACTCCAGGAAAATCTCAGACTACTGATAAGGATTCTCAAATCACCTGGCTGCAGAAAAGTGCCTGTCATTGTCAAAACCCCTGACGATGTTGTTGTCAGTGCAACTAATTTTGTTTCTGAAAGACTCTGTCCGATATTTCAAGTGTCGAATGTCAATGGAGAAAATTTAAATCTCCTGAAGATGTTCCTGAATTTACTGACAGCGAGAATGATAAGTCACGACGATGAGCCTGCTGAATTTCAGATTGACGACACCTATTCAGTTCCTGGTGTGGGTACCGTAGTCTCGGGGACAACTCTGAAAGGCGTCATAAAGCTCAACGACGTTCTGCTCCTGGGTCCTGACCCTCTGGGTCACTTCACCCAGATAGCGGTGAAAAGCATCCACAGGAAGCGAATGCCCGTGAGCGAAGTGAGAGGTGGACAAACAGCAAGTTTTGCTCTCAAGAAAATCAAGCGCTCACAAATTCGGAAGGGAATGGTAATGGTATCGCCAGCCCTGAATCCTCAGGCGTGTTGGGAATTTGAAGGTGAGATCCTCGTTCTCCATCATCCAACAACAATTAGCTCGAGGTACCAGGCAATGGTGCACTGTGGAAGCATCAGACAAACTGCGTCCATCCTCTCAATGTCCCAAGACTGCCTGAGAACTGGAGACAAGGCTCTTGTACACTTCAGATTCATCAAGCATCCAGAATACATCAAGCCTGGACAGAGAATGGTCTTCAGGTAATTCCGATCCTTGAAATTTATTTTGATAACCATCAACCGTTTTTAGGTATTTAATAATTTGTCATTATTCAGAGAGGGACGAACAAAAGCAGTTGGCAACGTTTTACGACTGATTCCTCACTCATCAGCAATCAACCCGCAAAATTCACGATCAGGCAAGCCTAACAAAAATCAACAGAGTCGTCAGAATGCTCTAGAGGGTGAGAGCAATGGAGCCTTCGAGGGTCAAGCCTCAAAGCGTGAAAACATGCCCCAAAAATCAGGCTCTGGCCCAGCGAACAAAAAAGGGAGGGGCAGGAGAGGTGGCAGGCCCCACAATCCATCGAATTCCAATGTCCAGCCCCTCTCCGAACAGAATCCACCATCTAAAGTCTAAATTAAACTGATTTATCTCAAGATTCGATGTAAAAATTCTATAAAAAATTTTTTTCACTTGGTTTTGTTATCTCCTGAAGCTATTCACCATGAGGATCAAAAAATTGGTATAAGCTGGCTAAAATGGAACCTCTCTACCAATTCCATGTTCTTTCTGTGTTTTTTTTTCAGATATATCTACGCACATAAAATTATATAACCATTCGTCTCCAAAAGAATTGATGAAATTCTAAAAATAGTTATGGAACAGTATTTTTTTAAACCAAAATGGGATAATTTGTTTTTTGTTCTTCATTTGAAGTACTTGGTTGTCGAATCATAATAAGAAAAATTCTTATTCAAAATGAATTATTTTGTTTATTTTCCTAAGCATCCATAAAAATCGAAAACGCTTCAATTACACGGGATATATCTTCAATTGTCCTATCCCGTTAAAATTTTAATTCAATGAGAGTTTCGTAACAGGATTACAGAAATTGTGAGGAATAAATATTAATTAATGACATATGTAATTTTTTTTACGAGATGGTAAAAGCAACAATGAGCAAATGAAGATATTGGATTATAATAAAAATTCAATGGTGCGTTAAAAAATAATCCTGTAAGGTAAAGATTTTTGACAAGGATTTAAACCGGGAATCGAGATGGCATTGAAATCCCGGAAGATTTTCCTTTTTCCATCCAATCTAACGGACAGATCGGTTCGCCACTTCCTTGTAGTTTATGTCTTCTTTGAGTATAAATTTTGTTACTAAAGCCATGAACGAATTACTAACTACTGCGCATCCGTCTCAATCTCTTCCTAGCGCACAACAGGTAAATAAAAAATCTATAAATATATTTTTCCATAACTAATATCTAATGAATTTTCAAAATAATCCCATTAATTGGTTTATATTCCGAAGGATAAGACCAGTACACCATCAATATGTTCAAGTTCAGGTTGATTTTTGCGGTTTTCCTGGCATCGGTAAGAATTTATCAACTACAAAAAAATCGGCAAATGTTAACGTCATAAATATAATTAAGAATATCAGCGAGTGAAGAAAGCGAGTGAAAGAAAGGAATGAATTTTGGTGTAAAAAAATGTTCTAGGGAGCCTCGGTCAGGAGTTTGAATCCACAGAATAAAAAGCTTCACCAGGAAGTAGACCGGAGACTCCGGGAGATGGGACAGGTTGCACATGCGAATTTCTCGAATATCATTAAAGAGCTTGATGTCTATCGCACGGAATTGGTGAAGAATATAATCTACGACGCTAGCCAGAATTACCAAAAGGTCGACAGGTTCCAGCAAGAGGTAATGATGTACTTTGATTTGATATCATCCTATTGCTATTACTGTCATTATTTTTCAATAGTACGTGGCGATCATAACTGGTGCAGCTGCCAATTCACCAGTGAAACTACAGAAAAGAGCAGCATCAGCACCGAAACCTGGTGGATGCGAAATAGATCCCATGGCAGATGTGTGGCATCGGGGACAAAATACCAATCGTATTATCACTCAATGCGTTCTCAAGTACCTCAAATCGGCAGATAAAGCTATCAACGAAGTACATAACGCGGAGCGTGAGTTTGTTCATAAGTTATACGATATTGAAGTCAGGCTCGAGCAGTGCAACACTCATCACGGAAAACTTCCCGGAGGAGATGATTTAGCCACCAACTGCATCCAAAAGGTTCAAATCCTCCATTTTTTTTTATTTGAATTTTTATTACCGATTATAAAGCTGAGAAGAAAGATGGAACAAAAGGGATCAAATGTTTCAGGTTGATGTGGCTTCTCAGGAACTGGCCAATAAAGTTCTGCCACAGGTCTGGGAACATTTTCAAGTGGTCGAGGACTTCTATCATCATGATGAAACCAATGTACAACATTGCGCCAAGGAGGCCGGTATCGATTATTTCGAGATGAGGGAGAGACCTGAATTACATCAGCATATGCAGCTGTGTCACCATTTATAATAGAAAATAATCGTCAATTAATTGTTATTGTTGTTCATTATTCAAATGTAATATCGCTTTTTTGTTAATATCAATGATAATTGAGTCCTGGTATTTCGGAATAAAATTGTTTTCAGCAAGTGGTGAATTCCTCTTCTATTACATATCGCATTTTTGATAATAAATTAATAATAAATTGTTTCATCTCGGCCCAGTCGACTCAATCGTCTTGAAATTCCGATAAAATATCATTGTTGTTATAAATTTGGTTTTCGTAATAATTGAAGATTTTTCAAAATTCATATATTAGTATTATTATTTAAAATTCGGATATGAATTTTAATAAACATTGACGCCTAGCGCTCAATTGATGATGAAGTTTTAAAAATTTGATATATGTACGAAAATGCAAAAAGGGAATGAACATTTTTTCTAATCCATTTTGAGGATCTTTATGAGTTGAAACCTGGAGAATATTGTTCCTTATAGCTGTGAATTTATGTTTCTGTTTTTTGCGGCTTGATCATGCGGCAAAAACAGTTTTTCGACATGAACATTAACTTCGAATGTTATCAAACGAATATTCCAGACTGGACACAGGAAATAAAATCCCCGGAAACATCTGCGCCTCTCGACGAAGGACAAGTGAGAATAGCTTCCTCATAACTATTAGTTTATTATTCTGTTTTTCGAGTATAAATGCTGTGACTAAGTTAGTGAAAAAATAGTGGCAGGAAACAAGTGCTAAACATAGTTGACTGCCAAGATTAGGATTGTGAACAATTGGTAAATATCAGCTATTTAGTTATGAATTATTATTATGCATTGTTTTTATAATCGACAGAAGACCCCTCCATCACGATGTTTATATTTGCGATGCTTTGTCCTATGTTAATGGCAACCGTAAGTTCGGGGATAAAATTATATTTTTTATCCTGCAATTGATGATATGACCTTAATTGAAATTGAAAAATAGGGAAGCCAAGGTCTGTCTCCCGATCTCCAACGGTTCCAGGAATTCGTCACAACTAAGGTTCGCGGTCTAGGAGAGGAGGTGAATCGCACCCTCGAGGAAATCGTCAAAGATGTTGACCTTCATCGTACCGCATTGGTGAAGAACACCGTGATCGTTGGGCAAGAGCACCTGGGGAAAGTAAAAAAATTCAAGAACGATGTGAGGGCACCATTTTAAGAGTCTTCCCATAACGAAAAAGACTACCGAAGTACAAGGGAATCTTTGATCCATGAACACTCAGTTGAAAATCAATAGAATTATCTGCAGTATGACTTAAAACACTTGTTCACTCCACAGGTACATGATGCAATGACTTGAAGATGAATTGAAGACGATAAATACATTTAATGACGGTTTAAAAACGCGAGGTGGGTGCACCGCCATCTTAGGAATATCTCGCGGGCCCTTCCCCAAAATGGAGGTCGACCGCTTTGCATTTTTACCCATTTCTCAAAATTCTGTTTTATCTTCAGATCACTCTCAACTCGTTTCATCCTTTATCTCTGAGAATAACAAAGCCATTATTCAGATATTTCTATCGTTTTCCCGAAAAATTTTTTTACCCCCAAAGTCTTCCGATGATTCACGTCATTCATTGGCAAGTTGAAATAAATCCAAAATCAATGTTCAGTAGTCAATTTCCTAAAGCTGATGTTTTAGTTTCAGGACTGATTTGATAATCAGTCTTTTCAACTCCAATAAAAATTTTTTCAGTACCTGGAAAGGGCTGGTGCTGTGCAATCAAAGGCCCCCGTAAAATCAGGAGGACAAGCCCCAACACCTAGACCAGGTGATTTATGTGTAGAATCACTAGGTCCTGTAATCCATCGAATCAATGATGCCGAACGTGCCCTAGCACATTGTGTTATGAAGTATATTAAAAGTGCAGATAAAATAATTGACGACACCAATCATGCTGAACGAGAATTCGCGCATAAATTCGCCAGCATCACCCAGAGGATCAACCCCTGTGTAACTCTTCATCAAGGAACACCAGATTCTGAGCGGAACATCCGGAGTTGTCTAGAGCAAGTGAGTGCCCTATGCAAAAATTCCTGTAGAAAATAATCCGGGGAATCCCAGCATTTTTTACTGAATTTTTTTATATATTTTTCAAATTATTATTTGAAGTTATGAAATATTTGAATTGGTCTCTAGATAATGGATGATGGACAGATTCTCCACAACGAAGTTCTCCCATCAATCCACAGAAGTGTCCAAATGCTGCAAGATTTCCACAATCATCCAGAGACCGATATCAGTCATTGCGCTAGGGGAGTGGGAATGGAGTACTTTGATATCGACAAGCGACATGAACTCCAATTTCAGCTTGAGAGGTGCGCCAAATCCTGAGGTGGAATCATGATTGATATATTTTTTAAATTCAATCTAAAATGCCATTTTCTATGTATCTCCGACAAAAATATTCTTTCAAATGCGAATTGAATAAATTTTCCATAATTACCCCAGAATAAAATCTGTTTAAACAAATACATTTTCAATTAGAAAAAAAATTACACATTCAAAAATGTTTTAAGTCAATGCGCAAAATTGAATAGCTTATATAACACGATTAAAAATTATTGATAGTCCACGGTTATTTCTTGATTAATTATTTCAAATTTTTTAATGGTTAAATAAATATTTATTTGTGGCGATCGCTGTGGATGGAATATTTTATCTCCGTAAATTAATTAGAAACGATAAAAAGATTGCGAATGCAAACACAACTGTTTCCTAAATCGACTGTTCAACATAATGACTCACTATAAAATCATCGATTCCATAAAAATTAATTGAACACACGTGATTTTGTGCTGAATGTCCACACGAGTTACGTCTTGATAATTAAATTAATTGAGATCGCTGGAGTTTTAGTATAAATTTAATTGCTCGGCGGCTACAGATCTCATTACCGATTCATCTACTTGTCCTAATCCACCTCAATCGATTCCGAGAATGAAGATATTCATTTTAATCTGCTGTTTCCTGCCGTTGGTGAGTTCATGAGAAAAATAAATTAAAAAATAAAAAATCACCCAAGATAGTCATTGATAAAAATGACAATTTCTCCATTGCAATAAAAAAAAAGACCTTGAAATTAATTTGTCCGTGTTGAAAATGAATTTCAGACTGTGTGTGCTTATATATCGGAGAAAGATCTGTATCAATATACAGTATTGCATTCCAACATCCGATTAATCAATCAAGTAGTCTCTAGCTACATGTTAGCTGTTGATAACAAGACCCAGTGGATGGCTCAAAGATTCCATGACAATATCAGTTCCGTTCGTGAAGATTTTGGAGAATGGTATGCAGTTTTCAAGGCAAAGGTAATGCTGACGAACGAAAATATTCCATTTTAAAAAACTGGAAATTATCTGCAGTATGACTTGAAACATTTGTTCACTCCATACGAACACGATGCAACGATTTGAAAATAAATTGAAGACGATAAATGCATTTAATGATGGTTTAAAAACGCGAGGTGGGTGCACCGCCATCTTAGGAATATCTCGCGGGCCCTTCCCCAAAATGGAGGTCGACCGCTTTGCATTTTTACCCATTTCTCAAAATTCTGTTTCATCTTCAGATCATTCTCAACTCGTTTCATCCCTCATCACAAAATTCGTGGGGAAAAATTTCATTTCGAAGACTTGAGTATTTTTTTTACCCCCGAAGTCTTCCGACGATTCACGTTCATTGGCAAATCAGCAATTGGCAATCCTCCAATGAAATTCGAATATATTTTCAAGTGAAGCAGCTCCGCTGGGTGTTTTAATTTTTTTCCCCTCCGACTAATCCGCTTTTGGTTTTTAATTAAATAATTAATTACACTATGACTTCAGTATGAACCGAAAGCCGCTGAGTTCGCTCATAATCTGAATCTGAGCGAAGACTGTCACCAATATATTCTGGATGGACTCAAAGAAAACGACTTGCATAAAGATCAGCTGAAGAATTATACGATTGAAGCTATTCAATCCTGGAGTGCAGGACTCCAAGAAGTTTACGGGAAATTGTCAGTAACTAGATTGGCACTTGCATCAATTGAAATGGAAGCTTATCGATGTGGTGATCTCCTAAAAAAAAGTGATGACACCCTCGCCTACAATTGTACACGTAAGGTACGTGAATTAAACGGACGCTGAAAAATATTTTTAAAAAATTATCTATCTCTACAATTTTAAGGACAATCGGGTGTGATGGAGGGATTAAAAATAATTGAATGTTCTTCTTTAAAAAAATAAGGTGTGAAATTTTCTAGGCTCTGGAGAAAGCTGAGACAATCAAAGAAAAAGCAATTCCAGAAATTTACGAGGAAGCGAAAGACCTGATTAAAATCCACAACACGGCATTAAATTGTTTACATCAATCAATCAAAGACAGAAACATGGCGATTTTCTATGACTCATTTCGAACAGATGATTGGCTTGCGGTGAGTTTATCTGGAAATTAATGATCCATTTGAGGCTATAAGGATTAATTTTCAAATTTCAGACATTTTGCTCGGAATCGGAAGAAACGGATAATGACGACCGTCTGGTGTATCACACCGAATAATTCTAATAAACCGCAAAAAAAAGGGAGACTCCAGTTGAATAATTATATAATTATATAGAAATAATAATAAAGGATTGAAATCATGGAAATATGAAAAATTATATGAGACACTTTCTGTATTTGCATTAATTCCAAGTGATTACATCTGACGATGAAAAATCAGATTTTAAAATATATTCTGTCTGGTCGTTATATAAAATATAATTATAAATGAAAGCCACATCTATTGACTGACATTTAAATAGAAAATCAATTACCATTCAAGATGCAAAAAAGGTGAATCTTGAATGACTCGTAAAGGGGAAAGTTTAGTGCGAAGAGCACGAAGAGTCAAACGAATTCCATTGCGACGTTTTTTGGTTTCTCTCACAGCGGCAACGAGAGTTTTGTCGGTGATGGGAGTTCCGGAGATGTTGAGCACTCGCATTGTTGTTGATCTCTGGAGTAATTCAACAACGCCATCATCAAAGAGGCTGCATCCAGCCACGCACAGCACATCGAGGTGAGAGAAGAGATACAAAAATTTATCTGTAACTCCTTCTGCCTCAGCCACACTCAAGTTCCTGAGCTTCGGTAACGATGAGAGAGCCATGAATCCATCATCCGTCACATTGTAAAAAGCTAGAATAAAAAAAGACTTATTAAATAAACAAATAAACAAATATAATTCGATTAACTCATTATTTTATTTTCCAGAACTTGAAGTTGGGGATATAAAATAAATAAAAATTGATGAAATCGATTTACCATCGAGGCACAATGTCACGAGTCCTTTAAGATTCTCCACCAAAGCTAGGATAAAATCAGCAGTCTCTGATAAGGTGAGTAACCAAATTTTGCGTTTGTTGTATCGATTCCGTTGTTGAAGAGAGATAGCCAGTTCTCGTAAATATTTAAGATTTAAAATAGAATGAAGTGTATCTGCTTTCAAAGTATTTCCATAGTACGTGACCATGAGCCACTCCAACATGATTTTTTTACCAAGAAGTTCCAGCAATGCCTCATCAATGAAATAAGAGGCAAAAAGCTTCAGAGAATCAGATATACGGACTATTTGTTTCAGATTAGTCAAGACGTGTGATGATAATGTTCTCCGTCCGCAGGATTGAATGCTCAATGCCTCCAAGGATTTTGTACCGATTGATCGTAGACAAATTCTGGTTCGTTTGAATTTAATGTGCAGTTTCAATACTCGAAGCCGCTGGTTGGCAGCTAATAATTCATTCACGTGCTCGTCATCAGCTTCTGATGAAATTAGAAGAGTTGCTTCTCTGATGTTTGTGCAGTATTTGGCGGCAAATGATAAGATTGTGAGATCATCGTCGTGATGGGTCTCGGTGAGAGTTATTAGACAATCGCCACAACGGCTTGTCACACCTTCCAGAATTTTTTCCTTTATCGTGGAAATATTTAAAACACCATCAAGATCTTGAATCTCATACGGCTTACTCCAACGACCGTGGCATTCTATTTTCTTCACTGCACTCCAACTGTCGTCGATTACCTCACGCCATTTTTGGCACACATTTCGAAAATTAATTCTGTGAGTTATCGGAATTTGTAAGAGAATTTTTCGTAAGCATTCGTCTGGTAGATCTTGAATTGTTGTTGAGGGTCCACCAGTTGCCGCCATCATTGTTCTAGGATTATTTATAATTTTTTATTAATTGTTTACGGGCTTTTAATTTCAATGCAAACTGTTTTATTTGAATGTAATCATCAGTGTCTCTCGGTGGTTGGATGATTACTGGTTGTTATCAAAATTGAAACTTTCGGTCGCAAGATGATTAAGGAATTTTGTTTTCTTTTCCTCTTTCTCTGATTTTCGCTGAGGGTATTCAGTACAGATATTTAATAAACACCTCAGGAATTCTCTGTACTTGAAGAATAGATAAATGAACAGTCTGCAATAAGGCGAATCGGAAAAGCGTAAAACCATACCGTAGAATAATCGAAAATAAAATCTCAATTATAAAATAAAATAAATCAAATCTTAATCTTGAGGGAATGAATAAAGATAAAGACGACAATTGTATATTTTTGGTCATTCCGTTTATTTTTCACTGATAATTCGGTCGTTTACAATTTGTAGTTTTCATTTTATTCTTCAGGATAAATATTCACTCATCAAGCGGCTACGTCCTTGAAAAAAATCATCAATTAAAGATTGGTAATTAATCAATTAATTTTGGTTCAAGTTCATAAACTTACTGGCAGATGCATTTAGTGTATTCTCGATGTGAAAAATGCCAATCTCTTTTTGAACACAAATCATGGCAATTCGGTGTTGCTGTTTTCTTTCGGATCGGCTGAAGCGCTTGGAATTATATGAAAGAATTATTATTATTCACTGTACTTAATTTATCGATCCGACTATTATTATTATTATTATTTCTCAATCAGACGTTGTGTTGGCACTGTGAAAGAATGACTTTTGACTTTTCTATTTCCCGTTAAATCCGGTCGACGGATTCTGCGTAATTTTATTATTAATTTTTTTAATTCTGGTTTATTTTATTATTCATTTTTTTAATTCTGGTTAATGTTAATATTAAATTTAATTATCAATTGGTATTTACTTACTTGCTTGGATGGCAACAGGGAAGAGTATTACTAGCAGAAAACTAATAAATTGCTGAAGCTTCATTTTTGAATGAGTGAAAAAAACTTGAAGGATTTTCAAAAATCGTCTGTCCGTAAATTATTGCAGATGAATTCTTATATATGTCGTCTATATTCCTTATCTAAACCGACAAAATTATTTATTACCTCTTTATTCTTGGGACTTTTCCGGAAACTTCCAGAAATAATTCTGAACTCACAGAAAAAAAAACTGAATTTCTGTTGAATTATTCGATCAAAAAGTTTTGATTGAATCTTGTCTAAAAAATACTTAATGTTTAAATAATTTTATTGTCAAATTTAATGTTCACTTAAATGTTTTAATGAATCATCGACGAATTGCATACAAAATGGCGTTTATTGGTGTAATTGTTCATTTTCACAATGTTCTCATTACCAAATTATATAACAGAGTATATATAATATTCGTATTACATAAAATCAGGTATTTACCTAATGTTTCATTCAATTACGCATATTTTCATCGTGTTGTTCTCGTACCTCATGGTCTACTCATCGAGTTTAACTCCGATTTCTATAACTACTAACAGGTGCGATATATTATTCAACTAATGTAACGTTATCATTTGTTCGCTCGCAACTCCGAGTAAGATAAAAAAAAGTGAATTATTAATAATAAAAAAAAAACAAAGGCAAAAAAATTATTAGGTCCTCAGGAATTTTCCAAAAATCGATGATTTTTTTCACTTTTTGTTTTTATTTTGTGCTAAAAATGATTTTTTACTTTTTTTCCAGTTTATTGGTAACGATAACTCCTTATCGACTATTATTCATATCACTAGAAACTACCGTCTACTCTTCGGCACTATTTTTCAACGAGGATCACTTCGAGCGTTTTTTCATTCTTCGCGGGACCTTGGAATAAAAAAAAACTGGTGAAAACAATAAAAACATTGTTCCACGAATTAGCGGCCAGAACTAGATGGAAAAGATGGTTTGAACGATTGGTTCACTTTAGAGGAACAGGAGGAAACAATTTCGAGGTGATTTAATGAGAATATATGATTCTAATCATTGGTGAAAAATGCGAGGTGAGATGGACACGCCGGCCGACAAAATGGCGATGCCCACATCCACCATCTCCTGTTTTTGAACATCTACCAAGTGTTTACCCCTGAATTAATTACATTCTCGTTGAAAATTCATGGATCAATGGTTTTACCGTAATTCAGTAATTTATTCATCCCCCAATGCACTTATAATTTTTTCAAGGTTATGGAGAGTTGAATGTTACTTTCCAGAGGAATAAGTTCCATAGAGTTTTATTTCCTCGACTATCCGTAAATTATTACTCGTTTATGGGTTAACAGCAGTAATTTTTTCTTAAAAATTTCCGCTGTTTTCCCTTGCAATTTAAAAATTCACTCTTCAATTCGCGTCTACTCTACTTGCAATTCTACAATAATTAAAACGAAGAAAGAAAAATGAGCAGTAAAAACAGGGCGTACGAATCACTGGGAAGCCCCCGTCGCTAATTACCGATTGTTCTCAATGAATAATCCCTCAACAATTTCCCTCCAATCATCACGAAAAAAAAATCTGCTATTCCCCACCCAAAAAAGCTCCAATTTTTCATCATCCATTTACAACCAATATCTCCACTCACACGAGTCCAAAAAAATTTCCCCCATCCAACGATCACTTCGTTGCTAATACTAAAGGCAACAGCAGAAGAAAAAAAAATCGAGTTGCAAATCCGCAGACGTAAGACCGACGATCATGATTCGAAATTATTTACATCATTTCCCCACCCCCAAATTTTCTGTCCCATTCAAAGAAAAGGGAAAAAAAACAAAAAAAAAAAAAAAAAAAAAACAAAACAAAAATCGTCAGACTGAATTTTTCTGGAGCGTCAGAAAAGATGTATCTTCCTCCTCCAAATATCAAACTCAGCTCTCGATCTCTTCAATTTTTTCCCTTTCCTTGGCCTCCTCCTCCCCCTTACCCTCCCCCTGCTCCTTCTGCCTCTTCTCGATTTCCGCCTTGAGATTCTCAATATCCTGCTGACTGATCTGAACAAAGAGAATACCATTGATAACATTGAGCATATCAAGAACACTCCCCATAGACGGTGGCTGTATCTGAATGGGTGGTAATGATACTCCACTCTTTCCAGTGTAAATTTCATTCATCTTCTTTTGCAGTACAACGGCCTGTTGAGTCAGATGTCTGAGACAATCAGAACTCTCTCTAGTCTTCTCATGCTCCTCGCCAAGCTGCTGTTTATAAATGGCATAAGTTTCTTTCTCATTATTGAGAGCAGCCCTGAAGTCGCCCATGCAGCTCTGAGTTCTCGCCACAAGATGATAAGAGACAGCAACCTTGAGTGATCTAGATCCATGATATCTGAGATTGAGAGAGAGTGCGTGCTCCAGAAACCTGAGGGACAGCTCATACTCTCCAACAGCATGAAGTATCAGTGATATATTGCTGTCTATTAAAGCAACCTCTGGATGATCCTCACCGCATATCAAAAGGGCGAGATATCTCGCTCGATATAAAAGTCTCAGAGAGACTGATACCTGGCCGTTGGCGAATGAATACAATGCGAGATGAATGTACTCAGTAATTGTGTACGGATTATCGATACCATTTACCCGTTCACTCATGAGAACGGCTTTTTGCTGAGTGGCAAGGGCCTCTCCGTGATCTCCCATTATGTAATTAAGTCTCGCAAGCATTCTGAGACACTGGGCAATCTCCGGGTGCATTGCACCGTACACATTGTTCAATAGATTGAGTGCCTCACTTATGAGCTCATAACCGTCCTTGAGATAGCCCTGTTGAATTTTGCTCTGGCCCGTTGTGTAAAAATTATAAGCATCGGATGCCCTTGGATTGAAATGCTTAACGACAGGAAAGATGTTGAGAATATCCTCCTCGAAGAAGGTCGCTCTGTTCTTATTATCAAAATTGTACTCTCTCAGAAGAATTTGAATACCAGTTTTAACACAGAAATTCCTCATCAGGGATATCTTCTGGAGCTCAAAATGATCGATTGTGGCGTCAAAGGACTCTGGGAATGGTGTCTCCCAGTCGTAGTAGGATTTGAGATCAGTTTTAATCTGTTGCCACAGGGATTTTGGTGTCAATGATGCCCACTCAACCTCAGACTGTTGTGGACCATTGGTTCTACCTTTGCGTTTGTTTCGGCGCTTGGCTGTTTTGCTCTGGAGCTCTTCAAGATTAAGCTGTGGGTGTACCGATGGCGATGACGAGAGTAAACAGTTCAAGAAGTGAGAGATTGAGGCTGATAGGGACATGAGCTCTGTACCTTGCATGTAAGATGTGAATATGTGTTTTGATGAGCGAAGAATTAATTCAGAGACAACAATTTTGTGGAGATATCTGAGTTGAGGCACTGCTGCTAGCATTGCTGCTAATTTACCGAGATATCTGACATTTATTCCACGACCATGAAGTGCTTCCACGAGGGTTGTGCCATCCATTGCAGCTGCTGTGTGATCAAGACACTCTCGTATAAATGTTGGTAGCTGAACTGTTAGGAGAAAATCAGCTGCATCTATCACCAGTTGTCTCTGCTTTTTCAAGGCATCACCGGAGGGATCTGGATGCTTGACACCTGGTGAAAAAACATCTGGATTGAATTTAACATCGAACTCAGCCTCACGGAGAGATCCAACAGCAGCTGCTGCACGTTTTACTATCTCCTTTGTCGACTCCTCGAGCTCTTGCTTCTCACCACCAGTTATCGAGTCTGTTATACTCTCAACTATTTTTTTGGCTTCATCTGCCTCAATGGAGGAGGCAGTTGTCTCCTTGTTGGAGTCGATGGGAAGGGGTTTAGATTCTTGATTTACTTTGGCATCTTGAGAGGGTTTAGGCTCTGGTGATTCTTTGGGCTTCTGCGATAGCTTTGAAGTCGTTAGCTGCTGCAGATGCACTGCTGCGTGTTTTATGAACTGAACGTAACGAGCTTCGACGAATGAATCGATGAGTTCTTGTCGGAGACAGGCTAATCGGTGCTTGTGCTCGACAGGGAAGCCCAGTGCTCGTGCCTCTTTACTCAATTCCACACCCTCGAGCTTCAAAAAATTCACGTCCGGTGGAAAAGTCCTCAGAAGATCAAGAACGTAGTGTCTGCTGTCGTTACCAATTATTCCCTTGCATTCAACACTTGAGCACAACTCAATCTCCTCATTGGCGTCATTAATTACTTTATGGGGGAGAATCTTCAGCTGTTGGCCAGCTTTGTTGAGTAGCTCAAGGTATTTGGGGTGTGTCAGGACTGTTTTGCCAAAGTCTATGGAACCGTAGACCACTGATTGCTCTTGCTCTCGCTCTAGAATACCTGGTATTATCGATTGTGCAGTGACTCTGTAGCCTCTGTAGTCTATTACAACTGTTCCCAGGGTGTAGAGACCTGGCAAATCCACAGCAGCGTACACTCGAACCCCTTGGAGATCGTTACGAGGTGCAACAAAGGCTGCAGCATCACCACCGAGCTCTTTGTAATGGTCACGAACATCGAAGCCCAGTGAAAAGAAAATATTATTCCAAATGAACATCTGCATCTTGGCCTCCTCCCCTGGATTTATAGCCATTACGTTGCCATCGATAACAGCAACAGCCCCTCTGGTAGCAGCAGCAACAAAATCCGAGTGAACTTTGAAAATGGCTCTCTCCCTGAGAAGCCTCTCGGGGAGATTTTTTCTCGGTAATTCCCTGGTGGTCTGCAGCTCCTCATTCCAGTCCCTCGTCTGGCCCGGGATGTGCTCCTCATATCCCAATTTTGCTGAGAACGTGTCCTCAGCTCTGATTGCATCAATTGTGTGCTCAGTCTGTGGTGCAGACCACGCGTAAAGTTGATAGGGTGTTGCAACTCTCTCGAAGGGATGACGTTGGGTTCTTCGACGCTGCATTGCTGTGAATCCACGTTTGAAGGCTGGTGATAGCTGATTTAGGAGCTCGATGAGACTGTGACATAGGTGAGAGGGAGTCGATGGTTTTGGATTGAAGGTCTCTTTGGTCGATTGATTGACGAAAAAGCCACGGGCACATGCTGTCAGATAGTACTGCTTGTCCTCCAGTGTTATAACTTGAAGGTACATGAGGTCACCGTGGAGTTTGCGATGGCCTGGGGGCGGATTCCAACCAGATGTTGTTAGCACCTTGAGACAAGGAGGGCATTTTTGCTCCTTAGCCTGTGGCTGGAGTGGCAATAGAGGTCTCTCCTTTGCTCCAGGAATAATATAATCAGGTGGTGTACAATCGACAGCATCAGCCCTCGTCTTCTTCTTCTCGAGAATGTCTCCATTGGTAACGACGTTGAGAAAACTCAAACTGCTACACTCAACCCCATTGTAAGCATCAGCAGGATCAACACTCTTGAGAAGATCCCTGACGTGTCTCACGTGAATTCTCGCCTCCCTCATGGTGTATGGCTCCTCGACAACTTTAATGATTGATCCCTCCTTCAGTCCCTCTATGTTCTTCAATTCAGCAAAATTATCAAGGGTATTTCCATCCAGCTGGAGTGAAAAACACGTCCTGTGACACGTGTCCTCTCTGTCCATCAGCAGCTGGTGAATCTCCTGGACCAGCTCCATCGAGGAAACCTGAATGTCGAAGGGCTCAGCCCCTGGACTGACTATTTTCACTGTGAAACCCATGTCCTGGATGAATACAACCTCCTGATCGTTTCCTTCTTTTTCTTTCTCATCGTTGTCCTTCTCTTTTTCATTTTTGTCCTTCTCGCACTCTTTAGTCGCCTCTACCTCACCTTTCTCCAGGACTTCTGTCGAGGCGGCGCCTGAACCGTCGTCCTTATGTCCATCATCTGGGAAATAATAGAGCATTTGTTCATTAGTCAGAATAATTGAACGTCAATAACTTCAATTGCTTGTTTCAGCTGATTCACGAGACTTTCAGGTTCTGGAATCGATTTCAAATGATGAAATTGCATGGAGTCACGGAGCAATTGCACTTACATTCGAGTGCAACAGCATTTATAAATAAGAAACGACCAATGTGAATAGTGCGTACTCGAATACCGGGAGGGACTCTATTTTTATCGATTGGAAAAGCATTTGCGAGACGTCCCGACTCTTCATTTTTTTTTTACTCCTCATGGAAGCTGAGTCGACTGTGTGATAATTGAATATGTTAACGGTACAATATATTTGCTCCCTCATTAGCATAAACTCCGGATTTCCTTTTCAAAAAAATTCCAGAAAATCCAGATCGATTGTAAAATGTCCGAGGGCAGAATTTAAAAATTAAAATTTATTTATTGAGTAATCGTGGATTTCAATAATTTATTTTCACGATCGATTCAGTAATTTATGGGATGACGAGGTAATTGTCGTTTGGAATTGTTGAACACATTTTTAGTTTTAGATAATGCCAGTTGAATCTGCTAGGTTGAGTGATCCTTAAAATAGTTGACAGATAATAGAATGATTTACGATTGAAAAGTGATAGAGAACTGAAGAAAGTTTAGCAGAATAGGGGTCTTGGGTTGCAGATGTAAACACAAATCCAGGAAGGAGATAACCCTGGTATCACCTCGGCCCCTCTCCCTTTTCTTATTCATCATCTTTTTCTCTTTTCAGCTTTTCCCCTGTTTATCGGTTTCTAAATTCACAGTCTAGGCTATTTACTCTTCTCATTTGATTTTTATTATTCCCTCATACATTGTTAAAAATCATTTTTACGTAAATTTAATTTTAAAAAATGAAAACCTCATTTTTTGATAATTATAAAACGCTCGGTCATTATCGAAAACAAAAAAATCACATATTGCAAAATTCAAATCAGCCAATAAATCACAAGCACATGTTGGAGTCTCAGAGACATCTGAGAGACCCCCTAGGGTCTTAAAACCCACACAAAGATTTACCTCCCCTTCTTCCTCGATTTTCAAAAACCAAAAAAATCCCAAAACCCCAATTTTTTCCCCCATTTTTTTTTCAACGAATCAATCACCAAAATATCACTTTGAAAAATATATCCAAGTCTCCCCCATCCCCCTCCCCTCTCAAATTTGAGGAACACTTGAATCTTATCTCAAAATAATTTCACTCAGAAAAACAAAAGTGATGCAATCCTCGACTTCGAGAAAAAAAAAATTGAGAAAAAAAAATGAAAAGTACTTTTGATTTATGAAATTGCAAAAAAAAATCTGCCCCTCCCCCACGTATGAGTTTTTTGAGAGTGAGTTGGGGATTAATTTGTGGAATGATTTACCGATGTTTTCCATGGCAAAAATATCTCTCACATGACCACGAGATTCTCTGTGCTCGTGCAATTGAAAAATGTTACATAACCAGAGACCAATGCCCGGCAATCGGTTGAGGGGCAAAATGGGTGGTGAAATAGAGTGAAATATTGGAGTGATTTGCCGGGGGATGGATTTTCTCGGAGTAGTCAATGGTGGTGGACAAAGGGATGATTTATCTCACCTGGTGTATTTTTTTTTCCATTGACCATCGGAATTTTCACAGCCCCATCCTCACCATTCGCCTCGACTTGTGACCCAAGAGCCATGTCCCCAATAGTGTGAATTTAAATGTTTTAATTCAGGGATTAATCACTGATATTTATTGATAAAACTTGACCAGAGGTGTAATCACTGATTTTGTGATTTCAGGGTGATAATTTTGAGTGATAATCAAATTGGGGGGAATTTGATATTTCAGTTGGAATTTTTGAGTAATTGAGGTTCGTGAGGATGGCCAGAGACCTCCAAGTGCCGCACTTTATTCCCGCACGTGCGTTTACGCGAGTAAAACCTTGCGATCACACAAAGACCTAGAGATTTTCCTTTGGAGACGAGAAAATCCATTGGCTGGCGCCTAGGGTGATTATCGAACGGCGGGGCTAAGGGCGGGCGAACTAGATGTCACGGGCGCCAAATTTCGCCCACTACAAGATGGCGAACGTACGAAAACTAAATTCCCTATATTCGATACATTCGAAAATTTATTCATGAGATTTACGCAATACACGAGCTGGTAATTGTCTAGTGTAAAAAGCTTTTGCATCTTTTGCGTAAAGATGTTGATGATCCTGATTAGTCAGTATTGGTACGTGTAGAAATAATGGAATTTCAGTTAAATTCATGTAACTTTTCGCGCGCTGACGGCGTCCGTAACGTCCAGCCCATGCGTGCACGCCTTGAGGCGGTGAAAAATGGCGCCCCCTGTCCAATTCAATTTTCCAAGTCACGTGACGAAAAAATTGACCAATCAGAGATGATTGTGCCGCCCTATACGTGGCACGAACGCATGAAATCTTTTTTCCCAACCTTCGGTACGTCCGCCATTTTAACATACGGGACATTAACAGAAGTGTTAAGGTTTTATGTTTTAATCGTTGATACATCCCTCGTGAGAATTAAATCATTTTATTAGTGGAACAGAATACGTAAGTACTGAATTCGTGATTAATCATGAACAATTGATTCACCGGTTCCATGGGGAATTGTTGGAGTAATAACGGGGGGAAGTACGGAGTAAAAAAAAGAATAATAATTGACAGAGTTTCGGTTTGCCCCAGTGTGACTCGCTGGTGACAGTCCAACAACCCTCAGCTGTCGTAGACAACGCCGATACGGTATTCATTTTTTTTCCTGGACAATCGTCTTCTCCTGGAGTAGAAAAATATTCACCCGGGGGGGTGAAGAGGTCCGGAGGCTTTCGGGTATTTTTTTTAGACTTCTACCCGGTGTGAGACATGGCATTGTCATTTTTTTTTTTTTTTTTAGTTTGAGGTCTGGGATTTGGGGGTCATTGTTGGGGGCTGGGGGGCCAGGCTGGAGGCATTTTCTTGGAGGTTTTCAAGGGTGATGGGTAAATAGAATCGATTATTGCCACGCTATTGCCTCGTGCTTGCTCTCTCTGGTGGCAGAATGGCATCGAGATGATGACGCGGTCCTCTCGGGTCGGACTCACGTGGAAGTTCTCGGGTTTGGGGTACCCAGAGGGTGGAGATCAAGTGGTTCTCGGGATTTTTAACTCATTCTCCAGAAATTTTATCAACTGGTGGGAGCCTGTGTTCTCTAATTGTTTTAATTGTTCACTGGTGATAGAGAAATTGTTTCGGGGGTTTAGGATCCCCAGGGGCGGGAGGGGATTTTTCTGGCTTTTCCCGGATTTTCCAGGAATTTCTCGGGGAACAGGTGGTCATCACATTCCGCGTTTTTTTT